GGGACAAGCTGACGGGCGTCTTCGTGAGTGCGGGACGGGGACGGGGACGGGGATGGGAATAGGAATAGGAATGGGAATGGGAATGGGGACGGGGACGGGCTGCCCGCGGCAGCGGCCTTTCCCGCTCTCTGTGGGCCCAGGCGGCCTCGCAGTCTCACCAAGGGGCTGCTTGGGCGCGCTGCTCTGGGGGGGTGGCGGTGAGCTGGGGCAGTTGGGCAGTGGAGGGGAGAACGGGGTGCTTGCTCTTAGGGGCTTTGCCAACAGCTTTCGTGCTTCCCCTGTTTGCAGGGGATATGGCAGTGGGGTAGTTGGCTGCTCTCTCAACCTGCTCGTTGTTGTGTTTTTCCTTCGCTGGGGTGGGTCAGTATATGGTTGTACTGCATCGGGTGGAGTTCTGTGAGGCTGGCAAGATTTGGGGGGAAAAGCACTGTGAATACCAAGAAAAGATGTCTGCAGCCTGATGCTGCCTGCTTAGCAGTTAGGCTCCACACAGCTGTCCTCAGGTGCTGCTGCAAGAGCTGTCGGAATGGTTACATTCTTCCCCCAGGGACAGTCCATGCTGCTGTTGTGCTTGAGCACCCAGCAGAAGGCTTCTGTTTGCAGGCACCCCGTCCCTCAACAGGCCCTCACAAGCTGAGGGAGTGCCTTCCGCTCATCATCTTCCTGCGGAACAGGCTGAAGTATGCCCTGACAGGAGATGAGGTCAAGAAGATCTGCATGCAGAGGTTCATCAAGATAGATGGCAAAGTCCGCACAGACATCACCTACCCTGCAGGCTTCATGGGTGAGCGGGGAGGGCTGGGGCTCATACCTCAGGCAGCTCTGCTGCGCTCGGGGGGAGGTGTTTTGTGAGGCTGGCGTGATCTGGGGTGAAAGATGCTTTCCCAATGGAGTTGAAGAAAAGATAAGTATAAGCAGTTGCTATTTAGTTTGGAGTTGTGTGCAGCATTGGATACCAAAGCCAGATACCCATAGCCTGTAACTGCCCACTTGCATATGTGTAAGTTGCTGTTCAGACTTCAGCCTTTGGCAGTTTTTGCTAATTTGCACTGTATCACGATAAAAGATGCAAGCCTTTGGTCAACGGGCAATACCAACCTTGTCATTCATGCCTGAAGCGTTGTTCAGCAGTCCCTAGTTCTTTTTAAACATGAGCTTTGTGCCGAGTTACAGTGTTGGATAATGTACCTGATAAGAGCTGTTACTTTATTTCCCTCTCTGAAATCAGATGTCATCAGCATTGAGAAGACAGGCGAGCATTTCCGCTTGGTGTACGATACCAAGGGCCGGTTCGCTGTTCACCGCATCACAGCTGAAGAGGCCAAGGTGAGGGACTTCAGCTTGGCATAAGTGTATGCCCAGCTGGGTTTGGTCGGGGCGGTGTTTCCTCATTGGCATCTCCTGAACAGGAGCTGTTGGGTCTCTTCCCTGAGAGCTGAGTCCGTGGCAACCTTGAGAAGATCAGGGCCTTCAGGGTTGGGACACAAAGCCTTTGATAAGGGGCGGGGGGGGGAAATCTTTCGGTGACATGAGAGTAATTCCCAGATGACTGCGGGTGCATTGTCTGGTGCTTGAAATGACCTCTTCTGGGATGGGCTGGGTTATCTTCACAGGGAGCTTTGGGGTTGGGATGGCTCTGCTGTGGTGTGGTGAGCCTTCGCGTAGGGCTCCGCAAGCTAACAGTGACCAGAAACAGAAGCCTTGAATTCCTTCCTGAGTCTGTTACAGAAGTGTTTACAGAACTGGCCTCTGGCCCTGGCTGTCAGGGAGTGACTCCTGCACGTGTTTCCTTAACTCAAGCGTGTTGGTGTGCCTGAGCTGCAAGTTTGTGCTCTGCTTTGCCTGTCCTTCCCAAGGGCAGGCTGTGCAGGCACACACTAATGCTGAGGGGAGAGCTGGCTGTGCTGTAGCTGGCTGGGGTGTGCATCTGGGGCCTCTCTCTCTGTCCCCCTGTGATACGCTTTTACCTCTGGCTGCCACTCTGTGTTGACTCGTAAGCCCCAAAGTAGCTTTGAAGGAGTCAAGGGGTGAAAGGCAGGAGGGAAAACATCTGGAGGAGGGATACAGATCTCTCTTGGATCCTGAAGAAAGGCAGCCTCTGCCTCCGCTTCGTGACCACAGGCTTCAGGGCAAAATGAGGAAACTGCCCTGGCACAGGCTTTCCTGGGAGAATGCTGCCAGCGTTTGTGGGGAGGCTGAAGCCCAGGGTGGGCAGCTGTTCCCAAAACGCAGGTGTTTTCCAGAGGGGCTGTAGTTTAGCCACATGGCAGCCCTATAGAGAGGCATTGCTGGGGCAGTGAGCCGGGCAAGTTGCTGCCTGGGCTTCTGTTGCAAGCCCTGGAGTGTCTGGGTGTTCAGTTTGGGGTCTGAGACCTGCTGTGGCTGGCAGCTCTCTGGGGTACAAGAGTCCCCTGGTCCATGGTGCCACGCTCTGCCTCAGCTGAGCAGTGTTGGGTTTTGTGTGCAGTACAAGCTGTGCAAGGTGAGGAAGATCTTCGTGGGCACCAAAGGAATCCCTCATCTGGTCACCCATGATGCCCGCACCATCCGCTATCCAGACCCCCTCATCAAGGTGAATGATACGGTCCAGATTGACCTGGAGACGGGCAAGATCACAGATTTCATCAAGTTTGACACAGGTGGGTCTTGCATCCCCTGTAAAACATGGTACAGTTCCCCACTGTGGAGAGCAGTGTAGAAGTTAAATACAAATGCCAGACATCTTTGCTCTAAAATAGAGAAACAGTGGTGGCAGTCTTGGGAAAGGGGTGGTTTCCCTGGGGTATCTCCACCTGGAGGTGGAGCAGGGATTTCTCCCACGTACTGGCAGTGGGAGGCATTTGGCATAGGAACTTGGAGGGATTCCATAAGCAAGCAGGCACGAGGTAGGAGCAATGATCTGGTGGGGGGGGGGTTGCTTGAGTCTTGGGACCAGAGAGCTCTTTGGCTCCTCGAAGTGTGCCAGTGTTTCTGTGGGACACATAGGTGTCCCCAGGTGGTCTCGTGGCTGCTCCGTGGGCCAGTGCAGCCCTGTCACTGCCCTTTTCCAGCAGTGCTCCTCAAGGAGCCAAGCGGAAGGCCTTCACCACGGCTCCTGGTGCAAGCTCTTCTCACACCTGTATTCCTTCACCCCAGGTAACCTGTGCATGGTGACTGGTGGTGCCAACTTGGGCCGTATTGGAGTGATCACCAACCGGGAGAGGCACCCTGGGTCATTCGACGTGGTTCACGTGAAGGATGCCAATGGCAATAGCTTTGCTACTAGGCTCTCCAACATCTTCGTTATTGGCAAAGTAAGGCTGCGTGGGCCCAAGGCGGGTGGGTGCTCTCCTCCTGTTGGGGGCTGCTCGCTGAAGCAAAGAGGCCTTGGTGTCTTCTGCAGGCAGCCGCCTTGCCACACAGGGAAGCTCCAGTGCTGGCACCAACTGTGGCTCCGCTCCCTGTGGTGCAGCCTGCTCTGGGCTGACCACTCTGGGAAGGGGAAGCATGCGTACATTTAGGAATGGGGATGTGCTCAAGAAGCAGCCCTCTGGTTTTTGAAACCTGAGAGTACTGGGAGCTGAGCAGTGCTTAGCGCTCAGATCTTAGCGGGCCCTGGGCAGCTGCTCTGAGTGCAGGTGCTCTACCCGCAGTGCCCCTGCGGTGTGGCCATCCCCGATGGGCTCTTTGGCCCTCGGTGTTTGGGTTTTGGCTGAAGTGCATTGTTCGTGGCTGTGAGCGCAAGAGGCAGATGTAGGCCTGTGTGCCTTTGGCACCTTTGGAAGGGGCATCTGCCGGGCCAGTGCCGGGGCCATGTGTAGCTGGCCCAGCCTGGGCAGGGTCTGGCTTCTGCTTTTCACTGCTTGGGGGGGAGAGCTCTCCCCCTGTCTGGGTTTCATGATGCGAGGTGGCTGCTTCTCCCTTGCTGCAGGGTAACAAGCCATGGATCTCCCTGCCCCGTGGAAAGGGCATCCGCCTGACCATTGCTGAGGAGAGAGACAAGAGACTGGCAGCCAAGCAAAGCAGCGGGTGAACTCCAGCACATGCCAGCAGTGGTCCTCTCAGTGTATTAATTAAACCGTTTACCAAATGCCTTTGTGACTGTCTGGGGAGCATCCCAGGGCTTTGGAGAGCCGAGTCGTGCCGTGCCGTGCCGTGCCAGACCGAGGCAATGCAGTGACCTCTGGGCCTGCCAATCTGGAGTGAGCCCTGTGGATCTGAGCAGCTGCCAGAGCCATCTTCCTGAAAGGCAAGGAGGAGCGGTGGGAGACGCTCTGGGCTGCTGTGTCCCTGGGAAGGTGTTGGCACCAATGCTCCTGGAGGCTTGGGGAGCAGCGGGCTGGGAAGAGGCAGCTGGGCTCTCTGCAGGGCCAATGGGCGCAGACAGGTTTGAGGCCCTGGGGGATTGCCTGGGCTGTGGGATGGAGCAGAGAGGCCAGTGCCCCTGTGACCAGCGCCAGGGCTGGGTGGTGCATTGGCCAGTCAGGTGGGTGGCACTGGGCATACCGAGCCCGGCTGGTGGCTCCTTACTGGGGAGGTCCCAAGGGACTGCTCTTCTTCAGTGCTTTTCCTCCAGAGGTGGAGCGTGCAAGGGATCTCGCTGACAGCCAGGAGAGGGGAGGCCCCCGGGCTGCGGGTGGCAGTAGCAGTGCTGGAGGCTGGGCAGCTCTTTAGAGGGATGTGGCCAGGGCAGAGGAATGGGGTGCTGGCGACCTCAAGAAGTCCCATGGAGGCAAGTGCCAAGCACCGTCCTGGGTACAGGCAGAGACAGGCACCATGGAGTAAGGCCAGAGGAGGCCCCAGCTGGTCAGCGCTGGAGGCAGGGGCAGAGGGTGTGGGCTCTGCTTATCCTGTGGAAGAGGGATCACAGGGGCAGTAATCCAAGGGGAAATGGTGAGGGACCTTCTATACCACTGAGACCCACACAAGTCTACAGGGCTGGATGGGATCCACCCAAGGGTACTGAGTGAGCTGGCAGAAGCGCTCACCAAGCCACTCTCCATCATTTGTCATCAGTCTTGGCTACCCCGGGAGGTCCCAGTTGGCTGGAGGTTAGCAAATGTGATGCCCATCCACAAGAAGGGCTGCAAGGAATATCCGGGAGCTACAGGCCTGTCCGTCTGACCTCGGTGCTGGGAGAGGTTATGGAGCATATCCTCTTGAGTGCCATCGCATGTCACATGCAGGACAACCAGGCAATCAGGCCAAGTCAGCATAGGTTTATGGAAAGACAGTTCCTGCTTGACTAATCTGATCTTCTATGACAAGGTGACCCACTTAGTGGATGAGGGGAATGAAGGCTGTGGATGTTGTCTATCTAGACTGTAGCAAAGCCTTTGACACAGTTTCCCACAGTATTCTCCTGGAGAAAGTGGCTGTTCATGGCTTGGATGGGCGTACGCTTGGCTGGGTGAAAAACTGGCTGCGTGGTTGGGCTCAAAGAGTTGTGGTGAATGGAGCTCGATCCAGTTGGGGGCCGGTCACAAGTGGTGTTCCCCAGGGCTCAGTGTTGGGGCCAGTTCTGTTTAATGTCTTTATCAACGATGTGGAGGAGGGGATCGAGTGCACCCTCGCAAAGTTTGCAGAGGGCACCAGGTTGGGTGGAAGTGCTGATCTGGTGGAGGGCAAGAAGGCTTTACAGAGGGATCTGGACAGGCAGGATGGATGGGCTGCAGCCAATGGTTTGAGGTTCAACAAGGCCAAGTGTCAGGTGCTGCACTTGGGTGACAACCCCATGCAGCACTACAGGCTTGGGGAAATGTGGCTGGAAAGCTGCCCAGCAGAAAGGGACCTGGGGCTGTTGGTCAATAGCCATCTTTCTCCTGAGATAGGCCGGGCACAGATGAGCATCGGGGGAACATTGTCATCTTTTATTGGCCTCAGAAACCATCTACAGCCGAGCGGAGGCTGGCAGCACGATGTCCTCAGGGCAGCTGAATGCCTGGGGCTCCATCCGTGCACCCATCCTTCGGTTGCCTGGATGCTGTGCAGGCTTAGGGCCAGATGCTATCTCTGGGGACCCACCTGGCACTGGCAGCAGGACACTACTGTTCTTTCTGTCCTGCTATGCACGTCAGGCCCGGCCACACCTCCCCGTCGCCCCGGCAACGGTCCGGCGCCGCCGCCGGTGCCTCTTCCCCATGGCGACCACTCCCGGGCGGATGGGCGGGAAGGTGGACCAATCACAGCGCGGGCACCGCGCTCCGATTAGTCTGATCGCCTCGTTGGGGTGTGGCGCAGCGGGGATTGACGGCAGCTGCAGGCCAATGGAGCGGGGCTCCAAGGAGGGGTTA